TGCTTTTCCGTCAGCTCCCATCATGTCAGAAAAACGGGGCTGCCAAGCCTGTGAAGCTGAGCCCGCAGTGGGGGCCGGTGCGGCTGCCGACTTGCTCTCTGGGCTCTGCTGCTCCCCTTCGGTCGCTGACACTCGTCCCCGGCCAGTGGTCGGGCGTGACGCGGCGTTTGACCGGGAGGCACGTCCCCCGGGCTGTGTTCCTGGCTCAGGAATGAGGAACAGAAGAGCTGCCTCCGCAGTGTAGCCGACGCCTCCGGTCCGGGTCTCTCGGGCCATCAGGACCCATGGCTCGTCCGGTCCAGATCCCTGCGGTGGATGAAGACCGGACGCCCACAGGCAGAGGGGCCTGGGCCCGGGCACGGCCCCGGGAGAGGTGGGCGCGGAGCCCGTTCTTCACCAGTTTCCAGATTCAGAGCCGCCCCCCCTCCCCCCCCCGCATCTGGTGGAGGGGACGTTGGCTTTGGTCCCATGTGCAGCAGTGACCAGCACACGTGGGGCTAACGTGCAGTGAGTGCTGCAGCGTACATTCTAGTGAGGTTTCTGCGAGCGCGCCATCTCTATCTAAAACATTTTTTGAAATATATTTTTCCTGATTAAGACTCAGACAGTTCATCTGAGGCCTAATGCTTTAAACAACCTGGATGTCAAGGTCAGAGAGCTGGAAAGAAAACGCAGGCCCGTGTGATAGAGCCCAGGCCTGTGTGATAGAGCTTAGACCCGTGTAATAGAGCGCAGCCCAGCACGTGCAGCCCGCAGCCTGAGCAGGTGGTGTGGCATTTTTGGGTGCCGTCCTTGCTCAGCGAGGCAGGGTGGGGCCACTTCAGTTTAAATGCTGTTTAGCTGGGTTCCTTTTTCCTTTTTTTAATGATTAAGAGAATGATAGCTGCAGGGAGACCCATTTTGGGGTGAGGCTATCCTAGAACTCCCATGTCAAGTTGGGGTTCCCAAATTCTTCTGGCCCCTGGTCCCCAAAGCTGCTAAAAGGGCAGATGAAGGCTCGCCCTCGATGCCTGGGTCGGGCTGCGCCGTCTCTCGCTGGGAGAAGCGGGCCGTTTCCTCCGAGGGGTCGGCCGCCCACGTAGCCCGTCTCGGTGTCTCTGTGGAGCAGGTCGTGGTGGCAGCCAAGCCCTCCCGGGGCGCACGTGCGCAGCCATGTGGACACGCTGCGCTCCAGCGATTGCTGCCCTCCTCTCTCTGGTCAGATATGCAGGTGCAAACCTGGGGGCCCAGCTCTCTCTCCCTGGGGACACGGCGGCCCGCTCACCGGAGGAGCAGGCCCATCGGACGGGCCAGGGGCTCCGCACACGGTCCCGCAGGAACCCGGACGCCTCACCTGGAAGGAGCTTTCTGTCCTCATGTAACAGTGTTCGGGTCATAGCGTCATTGTTTGTGCACGTCTCCGTTCTGATGGTTTGGTACAGGCCGCCTTTATAACAATTTCGGGGGCAGAGTATAGTTGTTTATTAGCTGGTCCGTGTTTGCTCCCCAGACTCTGAGTTCCTGCAGGGCCCGAACTGTGTCTTATCTTCTTGGTGTCTCCTGTGACCAGCACAGGGCCCAGTGCTCAATAGTGTTTATTGATTGATTGATGGACTGATTGACTGACTGAATGAGTGAGCGAGTGAATGAATGAATGAGGGAATCTCTCTGAGTGCTCAGCACTGAGCATGCCGGGGTCCATCTGGATCGGCTGTTGACCCCGTCACTCTTTGCACCGTGGGTGGCCGGGGGGCCTGCTTTGCTTTCGACAACACTGCTCCTATCCAGGGCATTACCATGTCCAACCGCCTTCCGGTGGAGCTGCATTCGTCGTCTGGATGGAAAAACTGCGATATTATTTTAAACGATTGTGAAATAATAAAACAAGTAATAACCTCAAACGCCAGAAAACATTATTTTCATGGAGCTTTGCACAAAGCAGCTCTACAAGATCGACTTACAAAATACACGCAGAAGGAGAGACTAGCGTTACCGACAGAGTGCCGAGGGTGTTTCTGTAAGAGGGACAGGAATGCGTGCCCCCAGCGGTGTGTGGTGAAGACGGAACCTCTCCTCGAGCGAGCGAGCGAGCCAGGCGTCTTCTCCACCGATCGGAGCCGCGGGGGGAGATGATGGGCTGGTGACATTTAGATGTTCCTTTTCTGGATCAGCTCTTAGCCACACAGGGTGCAGTGGGAAGCTAAAGCCATGGGGATTTGGAGGATTGGGGCAGAGGGACGTGAAGACATAGGCTTGCCATAGTTTGGAACATACGTTAGGGACGGGAAGTCAGGGTTCCGATTGGGTGAGGGGCCCGTGTAACAAAACGCCACATGACAGTGGATCACACGTATGTGTGTGTTCTCTTTGATGTAAGGAGCCCTGATGAGCACAGGACAGCAGGGCTCCTTGCGGCTTCACCCTCACTAACACCTGGCCCTGCTCATGTCTGCCTCATGGCTCCAGTGGGGTTGCTGGAGCTCCAGCCATCGCATCTGCAGCCCAGGCAGCAGAAAGGGGCAGGGGAAGGCCACTCCTTCCTGCTGGATCAGTTCTCTTTAAAGGAACCTCCTGGGAGCCCCATCGGTGATCCACGTCACCTCCTCGGCCACGTTCTCGGGAGGGAGCCTAACGCCGTCTGAGCTGGCACATCGGTGGCGCCCGGAAAAGGTGAGCTCTGTTCGCTGGGAGGAGAGGTGGTGGCTGCTGAGTAGTACGCCCTAGTCCTCGCTACGGAGCGGACGGCCAGCTCAGCCCAACCACCTTCACACGTCCTGGAGCTACTGGCTCATCGGAGCTGACGGGAGTATGTCTGCACAGATGCTGCGAATACGGCACATCCCATGTCTGGAGGGTGGGGGTGCGGGGTCCTCCCTAGTGGACAGGCGGGTGGCCCACCTGCCGTGAAGCCCCCGGGGTGAGCACTCGGTGGGTGGGTGACTGTCCAGGGTCCTGGGTTCGACCATCACTGATGGGGGGAGCGATGTTCTCGGCCCCCAGCAGTGACTTTCGGTCTCAGGGAATTTCAAACGGCCCCAGCGCAAGTCTGAAAGTAATAGACGTAGAAAAGCAAACACCGTTGATCTGGCGCAGGGAGCAGACGCTGCCAGAAGCGCTTGGTGAGCGGGAGCAGAACAAGATCAGCCGAGTGCTCAGTGCTCAGCGCTCCCAGGCCCAGGCCCAGGAGAGGAGCGAGGAGCGGCTGGGGGACCTGGGCAGGTGAGGGCACGCCTCCCCTCCCGCTGCTCCTGTTGGTTGTTACCCGTGGCGCCTCCCTTCCCCGCACCCACGGCTGAACCCCCACTCTGACCCAGACCTCAGAGCTGTTCGCAGCAGATGCAGCCAACCTTGGGGCCTGGGCCCTCACTGCCCTTCCGGGTCCTGTGACTCTGCTCCGACTCAGGGATTTAACTCTCCCCTTCCGGCCTCAGGACCAGCTCCAGCTCCGTGTGCACGTGCGCCGCCTCCCGAGGGCCCGGCCGATGGCTCAGCCCAGGAAGCCAGCAGCACCCCTTCGAGGGGGGAGGGGGGAGGATGCGAGGCGACGGGGCGGGGCTGTCAGGCTAGAGGGGCTGATATGACTCAGCAAACGACCCAAGAAGCTCACGTCTGTCAACAGGAAGCGGCGTGTGGCCGCGTGAATGGGGCTGAATCAGTCAGGACGCGGGCACCCAGTGCCGCTGCCGCCGGCCTGCGTGTGGCCTGGACCTCATAGGGCCGCATGCGATGGCTTTCCAGGCGGGAATCCCGAGACACTGGAGGCCTCCGCAGAGGCTGAGCCTTCGCCCTCTCCTCCCTCTCCCTCTCCCTCGTCACGCGTGCCGCGTCCCACACTGAGAGCTCAGGCAGAGGAGGGCCTCGCGCGCCGAGAGCCGGTCTCCGTGGCTGAGACCTTCCTGAGAAGGTCAGGCTCCGGCCCGGCCGGTGGCTCAGTGGGTGAGCGTCCACCTAGGACCCAGGAGGTCAGGGTTCGATTCCTGGTCAGGGCACATGCCTGGGTTGCGGGCTCCATCCCCAGTGGGGGGCGTGCAGGAGGCAGCCGATCAGTGATTCTCTCTCATCACTGATGTTTCTCTCTCTCCCTCTCCCTTCCTCTCTGAAATCAATGAAAATATATTAAAAAAAAAAAAGTCAGGCCCCGGGGTCTGCTCCTCACCCACCACCTCTGCCAACCACCAATCTGCTCTCTGTACCGATGAGCTGGTCTCTTTTGTTTTATTTATTTAAGATTCCACATAGGAGAGAGATTGTGAGAGTCACCTTTTCCTGTCTGACTCATCTCACTTAGCATAATGCCCTCGAGGTCCACTCCTGCTGTTGCAAATGGCACCATTTCATTCTGTTTTATGCCTGAATAATAATCCTCGTGTGTGTGTGTGTGTGTGTGTGTCCATCGCAATTTCTTCACCCATGAACCCAGCGATGGACACACACGCTGTCCCATGTCTTGGCTGTTAACTAACCCTGCAATGAACTTGGGGTGCACAGATCTTTTTGAGGCCGTGCTTTCATATTCTTTAGATAAATACCCAGGAGCGGCATTGCTGGGTCGGGTTCTGAGGAAAAGGTATTTTAAGTTTCCTATTTCGTTTAACGGCAGATGTTTTTGTTCTTTGCTCTAAGTCCCGTTGGGAAGAGGGTCTGAGTAAGTACGCGGTGAGTCCCACCCTCGACACCCGTATCGACTCTGATCGTCCTCCCTTCCCGCCTGGCGTGTTGGGGTTGACTCTTCACTCTGAGAGCCCAGCTCCGGGCCCTGCAGCGCAGGTCTGGTCGGAGCGGAGCCGCCCTGTTCCCTCACCTTTGCCCTGTGGGGAGGGGGCACGGGGACATGTCATTGGCTGGGCTTGTTCCCACGACAGACAAGCAGAGCGGCGTCTACCCTTTATTCAGACCGAAACCAGCAGCGTAGGCACACACCAGCGAGACGTGGGACAAAGGACTCGGTTCCATAGCCAAGGCAGTCCTAAGGGGCCCCACGTTAACCGCATCCAGCGACATCGGACGGTCAAGTTGGCCTGTAGAACATATTCTGGGGGGAAAAACAGACACAGAAACAAGCAGCAGGCGGCCCGAGGCACGAGGCGCAGCCTCATTCTGCAGGAGGGCGGGGGAGCTTGCGTCGGATCCAGGCCTGGACCTTCCGGGTGAGGAGGGTGTAGACCCCGGGCTTCTTGGCGTCGCCGCACTTAAGGCCTCCAGAGACCAGGCCGGAGAAGGCGCCTCCGCAGACCAGGGGGCCCCCGGAATCGCCCTGCGGGGGAGGGACACACGCGGGTGAGAGGCTCTCCATCGCCCGCTGCCGCGGACGGTGGCTGAGTCATCGGGGTTCTCTGGGTCCCGAAGACACCCCCTCACCCATGCAGGGCGCGAGTGTCTGTGTCTGTCCAGGCTCACAGTTCTGTCTGTCTGTCTGTCCATGTCCCTGTCTACATCCGTTGGTAATCACTGGCTGTTGAACCTTATTCATCAAGGAATGGGTGGGCGTAGAGTTTGAAATGCTCACTGACACGAAAGGGGTTTTTAAACTGAGTGTCCCTGTGGTGCCTGAAACCAAGCTGCGGGAGGAGGGTGTCGTGTCTGTGCTGGGCAGGGCTCTGTCTTCTGTCCTGGTTTCCCGCCTCCAATGGCTGAACAGGGGGCTCTGTGCGCGCACAGCACGCAGGGAGGACTTGCTCAGGGGGCTGATGCTCCAGACTCGCTCTGACAACAGAACCTGTCCCTCAGATCTGTCAAGGCAAGTGACAGGCGCAGGCTGCCTCGGCCTGCTGCCCCGCCCCTGCCGCCTGCGGCCCATGGCGCTCTGGTCGCTGCGAACACGTGCTTAGGACAGCAATCTTGCAGCCGTGTGCCATGGCAACAGGCGTGCCGCGAGAACGCTTGCAACACGCGACACCTGACTCCTGACCCGGGCACCGGCCTCCTCCCCCCGAGGTCGGTCACCAAATAAGAAACAACAGCAATAGCCGTCGGTGCTGTGAATGAATCAAAATTACGCCTATCTTTTTTGTCAGATCAGAAAAATAAAATATTTTTTGGGTGTGGGCCAGAATTTAGTCATTAACCTGTGTGTGCCATGGGGTGAAGGACGTTGAAAATTGCTGGGTTGGGGCAATGGGGGTCTTGGGGCACCACACACACATGATCTTGGAGTCATCACAGCCTCCGTCCCGTAACCACACGTGTGTAAAGTATGATGTGAGCAGTGTGCCACCGACCTGTCACCTGCCACCGTGCACGCCTATTTCTTAACTCCCCCCGGAAACACGATTGGAAACGTGTGACCGCTGTGCCTTCTGGCGAGTCGGTCGGATGATTCCAGAAACGCACTACAGTGTGGCTTCCGCACGTGAGCGCAGTGAGCCCTCTCTTCTCCAATGAGAGGGGCCTGTGCTGGGAGAGGTGCCCTCTAACCCCACTGGAGACCTCCCAGCTGGGACGCTTCCCGGGGATGGAGACCCCAGGACGCCCGGGAGAGGCACCAGGTGAGGCCTAGTGTCCTGAGGCACACACACGGGGGAGCACGCATCCCGCGTGGGGGTGTCCTTAGGATTCGTTCACACGGAAGAGGGAAAAGGCCGAGGGTGCTGAGCGGGGACGGAGAGCGGCTGCCGGACGAGGCTCTGTGCTCTCCGTGCCCTCGGCTGGGTGCCGGCCAGCAGACCTCGCCTCCGAGGGGCACAGCGCCGGCCCAGGCCCTCCCAGGGGCGGCTCTTACCTGGCAGGAGTCCTTCTGGCCCTGGGCGTCGCCGGCGCACACCAGGCCTTTCGTGATGACGGGCTGGTGGTTGTAGTAACTCGGGCTGTTGCAGAGCTTGCGGCTGATGACGGTCACGGTGACTTCCCGCAGGGTGTCCGAGGGGCTCAGAACGTCTGGGTCGGTGGCGCCCCAGCCGGTGACCCGGCATTTCGTTCCCGCTCTGAGGTCGTCCCGGGGGCGCGGCTGGAGCAGCTGGACCTGCTTGTTGAGCTTCGCGGGCGCGTGAAGCTGCCGGACGGGAGGGAGAAGGAACGTCACCGTCCGCAGCGGGAGTCTGCTAGCGCCGGGCGGGCGTGTGGTCCCGTCTGGGCGTCCCTCCCGAGTCTGCGAGTCTGCGTTGGTGGCCGCCTGCAGCTGTGCTGGTGGGGGGCGTGCCCCCCGGGAGCTCGGCGGATGCTCGGGAGGGGCTCTGGCGCGGCCAGCCCGGCCCAGGCTCAGCGGGCTGCCCTCCGCTCCGCTGATGGTTCTCTGGGGACAGCACCGGCCATGCCTGGGCGGGCTGGGCTGCTTCCCGCCGGCGGGGCCCTGGAGCACGGTCTAGACTGCGTATGGGCCAGACGAAGGAGGCCTAGGCCACGCGTGACTCGCTGCGCTCCCTGAAGGCCCTGGCTGGCTCTGTGGGATGAGCGACTGGTGATTCTCACTCGCTCATGGTCAGGGCACCTGGAGGAGGCTGTCAGTGAGGACCGGCCTGCGGGCGGCTCCCTCCCCGCCTGCGGGCACCAGGCTTGCTCTGTCTCTGGGGAGCCGGCCCTGGTGCGTTGGCGATAGGTTCCCGTTTCTTTAGGGCAGCGTGTGCAGTGCACGGGCTCCGCAGACCATGTTGATCGCCGCATATCCGCTGGGTGTGCGGACGCCACGCTCCCGGGTGGAGGGTTAACAACGGGATCAGTTGTGTCGGGACCGGGGGAAGGCAGGAGGCCCACCACGTACCTTCACCAGCATGATGTCATGCGACTCGGGGTCCGAGGTGAATCCCGAGAACGGAATGAGCTTCAGAGAGGGTAGAGAGGTCACCGGGCTGGGATTCGGGGGACAGAGGACCCGGCCTGAATGAAGGCTGTGATGGGCATTGAACCGCCTCCAGGCACCCACCCCCATCCCCAGCATTGCAGAGGCGGGCAGAGCTGTCACTGACGGGGAGACCTGGCCCTACCCTCACTGACCCGGCGTGGAGGCCCGGCCCAGGCAGGTGGGGACGGGGCACAGGCAGGTGGGGACAGGGCTCAGGCAGGTGGCTGGTGAGGCCTCGGCGGCGTGCGTCCAGCTAAGCAACAAGACCCCCAGGTGTCCCCCTCCGGCCCCGCGCCTCCCGGACGCGTGCAGGAAGGAAGTGTGCGTCCGTCTGTGTGAGCAGCTCTCGGCGGTGCCCGCCCCGGATTGAACGGGCATTTACTGAGCGTCACCCTCTGCCTCGCGGTCCCCGGGGGACGAGGGCTGAGAGGGTGGCCGTGATGGGACACGGTGGTTTCCATGACAGCGACAGCCTCGGGAAGTGCAGAAGCCACATTAGCCGGAAAAGGTGGCAGCGACTCAGACACAGCAGAAGCGCCACAGCTTCCCGGCTGCACAGCCTCTGGTTCGTGTGCAGCCCCGTCGATGGGCCATGAACCCACACCTGCCAGCCGCGGGGGAGCCTACCCGGCCGCGCTCCATCGGGCACTGGCGCAGGGGGAGCCCTAGTGAGCGGCGCTGGGAGGAACGGAGCGTCTCCTCCTGGCTCCGTCGGGCCAGACGCACAGAGGAGAACATACACGCGAACAAAAGCCCCCTCCCCACCCCACCCCACCCCACCCAGCAAGCGGACTCCTTCCTGCTGCTCTGGAGGGGATGGGGGGCAGAGCCCCACGAGGGGGGTTCCAGCTGGCGTCAGAGAGCCAAGGGCTGAGGGGGTCAGAGAGGCTGCAGTCTGTCTTCAGACCAGCCTGGTTCTCAGGGGCCAAGAGAGAGAGAGAGAGAGAGAGAGGGAGGAAGGAAGAAAGACGCTCTCTCTGTAGCGTCTTTCTTTCCCCTGGGAAGGGGTTGCCCTTACAGCTGTGATCCCCAAAGTGGGGGCCTGGCCTCGGGGGGTCAGGGGCGGGAGTTCCTGTGAAGGATCTAAAACCCGTTAGTGAAGCGGCTCCTCGCCACTAAGTGCCGCTCACGTGTGCTTACGACCTGCCGGCCGGCTCGGACCCGTCACAGATACCATTCCAGGCCCAGATCAGGCGCTGCCCCATGACCCCACCCATGCAGTGGGGACGGGGGTGGGGACGGGGGGCGCCCCTCAGGCTGTGGCTCGCAGGGGCCACGGGACCTGCTGAGTCAGGACACCGTGGGCCCCACCGTTTCTGGGGCCGCCTCCCGGCGCCACACGCAGGCGCGGGCCGACCCGCTGTCCTCGGGAAGGAGCCCCAGGCAGGGACCGTGGGTGCACGAGGGTAAACCAACCCCGCCCAGCGGTCAGCACCCATGGAAGCTGCCCCTCCCCCCAGGAAAGGCAGCTCTGTCCTCAGGACTCAGGGAACCTCCCCGACGGGAGGGCGGGGCTCACCGGTGGTGGCAGTGGGCCGCGGTCAGCACCCACTGCGGGTGGATCAGGACCCCCCCGCACACGTGCTCCCCGTGGTACTGCAGCGAGGCCATGAACGGCCTGGAGTGAGGGGCCACCTCTCTCCCTCCGATGACCTCCTCGCTGGAGCCTGCAAGAGAACACGCGCCGTCGGCCACCAAGGACCTGAGCGGCCGACTCACGTTTCTTCTCTCCCGGGCACTGCAGCGTCAACCCCGGCCGCCTCAGAGCTGTAACCGCACGCATGAACCGTTGCATGTGATTGTGTGTGAGCAGAGGTATAACACATGCAAGCCCAGAGGCCCAGACGTGTGAGGAGTCGTGGTCATTTATGATGTAGCTGCACAGTCGCTGGTGCGGCTACATCAATTCACGTCCTGCTCCGGTGGGTGGGCAGGGGAGATACTTACACGCAGGCATCAGACAAGCCGCGGCGACGAGGAAGAGCAGGGAGGACGCCGTCATTTTTAACGGCGAAGAAGCCCGGTGAGCTCTCTGCCCGTCGGTGAAGGAAGCCGGTCTGAAGACGAGTTTGGGTCTTGCGAGTTTTAAGCTGCTCCCCACAGCGTCTCGGGGGCAGGGTTTTCACACCTCCGTGGGGAGCCCGTTTCAGTCTGGGCGGTTCCGAGCTCTGCCTGTCGCACTTGCTCCGTGTGCGGTAGAGAACTCGCACCTGGATGAGCCGCCTTCGCCACGGGTGCGAGCTCTCGGGTTTAAATGGTGAGAGAATCGGAGGCATCCACGCCAGGGAACGTCATGAAGACAGAGTTCAGAGACGGGGGCCCTGCTCTACCGCGCTGCGTGCTGTCTTTCCCGCAGAGAAGGGTGCCTGGCACGGCCGTGCCTCCCTGGCTCGCACTGGGACACGGGCCAGTTACGGAGCGAGACGCGGACCCTTTGCCGACCGCGGGTGCTCCAGCCAGGCCTCGCTCAGGCCGGCGTCATCTGGAGAAACCCACACGCCTGTAGCACGCTCCCTCCAAGTCCTGCCGCCTCCTCTGAATTTGCCCGAATGTGGTGAAGTTTTAGTTGCATTTTTGGAAGATTTCATAATGTGACCCGAGGGGAACATGGGCAGCGTGTTCTGAAATTCCAAGTCCCTTTTCCTCACTTTTAATAGGAAATGACCACGTGTTTACCCAGGGCCTCGGTCATCGTATTTGTCAGAGACCGAGGACTGTGCTCGGTGCCGTGTGCTCTCCGGGCCGGACGGGCACGCGAGCCCGGCTTCCTCTCGCCCTCACTGTGGAGGCGGCGGCCTCATAGGCTGGGACCCTGCTTTTCCTGGGCGCCGGGCGAGCGTGCAAATCTGCTAGAGTTCCAGCAGCCCAGCCGGCACCGGACCCCAGTCACGCTCAGAAACGCTGACCAATTACCTTTAAGGAGCAGGACCTGCTTTCTTTTCTCTGACATAGAAGCATCCTGCCCGCCAGTGTAACCCGGTGGACCAGGAGGTCAGGGTTCGAGTCCCGGTCAGGGCACAGGCCCGGGGTGCAGGCTCGATCCCCAGTGTGGGGCGTGCAGGAGGCAGCAATTAGTGGTTCTCTCTCATCACTGATGCTTCTCTCTCTCTCTCTCTCTCTCTCTCTCTCTCTCCTTTCCTCTCTGAAATCAATAAAAAAAAATTTTTAAAAAAGCTATCAGCATCCTATTTTCTTCTTCTTCTTTTTTGTGTGTGTGATGGAGCATTGCAATCCAGGAGAATTGAAATGTTATACTTGCCAGATTGCAACAGACTCCTACCCAATCCTTGTTTTCTAGCATAAGACAGTGGGGATCATCGATATGATAGTTACACATCGTACATTAACATTTAATAATACAAGCGCCTGACATTATTTCCAAAATTCTTCTCACGTGATCATTTATAAACTGTCAGGTCTGACGTCTGTGAGGCAGGAGGGACACGCGTGTGCTTGTGCCACAAAAGGGAGAAGCCGGCTCAGGGAGGCCCAGCGACCTGCACACCGTGGCCTGCACGGAGCCCTTTGCCCAACCTGGAGTAACTTCTACGCTAATAAATAAAGACATGGCCCGAGCACAGCGTTTGCAAAAATATCCTGTTTTCACGTTACAGGGCTGTGGCCCCAGCAGAGCGTTCCTGCATATTAAATAGCAGACTTAGCAAGACTTCCTGTCGCAGCGCCTGTGGGCGAGGCGCGGAGGGTCCCGAGTGAGAAAAGCCACAGACTTAACGAGCCAAACCTGTCAGCTGCAGCCAGATGTCCCCGCTAAGGTTCCAGCACCTGGTCAGGGCCGGGGCGCCGCTCCCCGTGCCTGGAGCCGACGGGAAGCGGCCGTCCCTCAGCCCGTGATGCTGGGGACGCGACATGTGGAGGCGACTGGGCGGTAAGGAGGGAGTGGAGGGTGTGAGAGAAACACTGCGTTTCTGGCGGCACGGGCAGGCGGGGCTGAAAGCTGCTCAGAGCTTCGTTTTGAGTGACAAGGCCTGACACCCACACCTTCAGCGCCGGCTCCGGGCAGTGGCTGTCGCTCATCCTGCTCTGTGGGTGGAGCTCGCTGGAGACTCCTGAGCTGGCAGGTGGCAGCCAGGGTGGGGCCCTGTGTGCCGCTCCAGGCTCCTGCCTCCAACCCCTGTGCCCGCCGTGCTCCGAGCCGCCCAAGAGGCAGCTGGCGGTGCCCAGGGGAGGCGGTACCCGGGGGAGGCGGTGCCCAGGGGAGGACGTAGCCGTGTGCACTGCAGGCGGACACGGAGGGATGTAGCTCACTGGGAAGGACATCTCCTGTCTCCCGTGCGGCTGGCCTGGAAAGTTCCAGCGAACCCGCTGGTCTACAGCACCGAGCTCTCTGGTTTGGGCTGTGGGCGGGCGCGGTGAATGGCATCACTTGTCATTACGCTGAGGGTCCTGGTGCAGAGCAGGGGCTGAGGGACGTGCCGAGCCGGGCGGTCCCATGTGTTCCTGCCGAGTCTGCTGCGTGTTTGCTTTGGACGGCTCCGTGGCGCCCTGCTGGGCTGAGCGGGCTGGGCGGGCGGCTGGCTTCGTGTCCCGGCCTGTGGCTCTTGGCCGCGAGCTGCTCCGTGTCCTCATTGGCTGCTCTCGGAGATGCTGCCTTGCGACTTGGCTTCCATCCCTCCTCCCAGAACCCTCCTCTGTGCCAGAAGGCCCGTGGAGAGCCGCGGCCTGGGAGCCCGAGGGCCACCTTGGCTCTCTCCCCGGGCGGCCTCTCTCTCTAGCCCAGACTCCTGCCCCCGACAGCCACGCCCACCAAAGCCCTGTCCTTCCGGTGGCCCCAGACCCGTGCCTGCCCGTGACCTGCTCATGACCGTCTGGGGCAAGACGAGGGCTGGGAGTCGGAGTTTAGAAGAAGTTACACAGCTCTATGTGGATTAATTTTACTGAATGTAATGAATTCAACGTCTGTTCAAGCTGGTCATGAAATAGGGATGTGCTCTGCCTGTGTGTGTGTTTGATGGAACGTTTCTATGCATTGCGTTGTGTTGTATAACTGTACCAGCCCACGGGGACGGAAACTAGAACCAAACCAACTGACAAACAAACAAACCCCCAGTCTCGCCCGGGCTCCCGCACAGCGCGTCTGCGCACAGCTCTGTGGGCTCCACGGCAAGGCCGCTGTCTTCCGAGCCCTGGTCTCTCCCTCGCCGCTGCCTTTGAGAGTCTTCTGACACCAACGTTTCCCAGACCTCGGGGCTGCCCAGCCCCCCCAGCCCGGCCCGTGAGATCGGGATTTGGCCGAATTCCCCCAGGCCCCGCCTGTATGGCCACAACCTTCACCTTGCCTTCTGTCCATTAATGATTTAGCAGATTTGATAAATGACTCTGCTGACAATTATGGTGAGACTGTGGCAGCTTGGAACATTGGAGTGGGGAGGGCTGCGGGGCTGCTGTGTGCTGACATTATGTCGGAAGGGACCAGGGAAATGCAAGTCCTGCTTCACATGGCAGCCATCCTCCCGCCCTGGGGACGCCTTAAGGTGGTGAGCCCGAGAACAGATGGCAGGAAAGCGCGTGCCCTTGACTCAGGCCGCGGCTTTGAACTTGGCCTCGATGCAGGACACTGGGTTGGGGCCTATGGCACATTGGCTATGTACATTTTTAAGAAATATATTTTTATTGATTCCAGAGAGGAAGGGAGAAGGAGGGAGAGATAGAAACATCAGTGATGAGAGAGAGTCACGGATGGGCTGCCTCCTGCACGCCCCACACTGGGGATCGAGCCTGCAACCTGGGCATGTGCTCTGAACCATGACCTCCTGGTTCATAGGTCGATGCTCAACCACTGAGCCACGCTGGCCGGGCTGGCTACGTACCGTTAAATACCTCGGAGAAGCTCTATGCCAGTGGTTCTCAATCTTCTGGCCCTTTAAATACAGTTCCTCATGTTGTGACCCAACCATAAAATTATTTTCGTTGCTACTTCATAACTGTCATGTTGCTACTGTGATGAATCGTCATGTAAATATCTGATATGCAGGATGGTCTTAGGCGACCCCTGTGAAAGGGTCGTTCGACCGCCAAAGGGGTCGAGACCCACAGGTTGAGAACCGCTGCTCTATGCCCTCCCTTGGTGGAATGAGGGTGGTAAGGATGGTGTGGAGGGAAATTTGTTTTATCTTCGTCCACCTTGACTTTTCATCAGAACATACTGTGCATGTTAATTGTCTTCCGATTATACAGGCGTGTTTCCTCCCCACCACCTTTGGGTTTAGCAGCACAGGAGGGAGTCCTTTACTCCTCCCCAAGCGAACATGGAATGACCATGGTGGGTGGGAGGGTAGTGGGTGAGCACAGGGTCTTGCATTTAGGGGGTGGCCACAGGAAAACACCCCGAGAGGTAGGCACACGGGGGTCTCCCGTGCTCCTGGAGCGGCTGCTGCTCGGACGCTCTCCTCGCTCAGCCTCTCCTCTCAGCCTCTCCTCTCCCAGCCTCTCCTCTCCCAGCCTCTCCTCTGCAGCCTCTCCTCTCCCAGCCTCTCCTCTCTCAGCCTCTCCTCTCAGCCTCTCCTCTCCCAGCCTCTCCTCTCCCAGCCTCTCCTCTGCAGCCTCTCCTCTCCCAGCCTCTCCTCTCTCAGCCTCTCCTCTCCCAGCCTCTCCTCGCTCAGCCTCTCCTCTCCCAGCCTCTCCTCTCCCAGCCTCTCCTCTCTCAGCCTCTCCTCTCCCAGCCTCTCCTCGCTCAGCCTCTCCTCTCAGCCTCTCCTCTCTCAGCCTCTCCTCTCTCAGCCTCTCCTCTCCCAGCCTCTCCTCTCTCAGCCTCTCCTCTCCCAG